GTAGAGGAGCTGTAGATTTTGCACTAACATCTGATCTGTAGCATGGTCGAGCTGTAGATTTTGCACTAACATCTGTAGCATGGTCAGTAGCAGTAGCACTAGCAGTAGCTACTGACAGTAGCTGCTACTGACAGTAGCTACTGACCATGCTACAGCAGTGAGCAGCAGAGGTGGGGCGAGGCGGGGCTATGGCTCATCGTTATCAGGAAAATGATCGTATAGGGCGTACACACGGAGCCGTTTGGCCCCCCAGAGCGTTCCGTTTGCAGATCTATCCACCTTGGGACCCGTTATCGTTTGCGGGGTCCGTTTCCGCGTTTCCGCGTTTCCGTTATGGCCTCGTGTGGCCGAACGGGCTAAACGAAAGAGAAAAGTTGCGGATACAACCGTTTGCGTTATCGTGTAAACACCGCCTTATCTGCAAACCTTCAGATTTCTGTGATCCACAATCTACAAGATCCTTAAGTAGACACCATAGACACCATCTAAAAAAGGGCCAAGAAGAGGATATACCTGAAAACATACTGGATGCTGATCCAATTCAACTATCAAGTCTGTTAAACACACATCAATCACTGTGTGGCATGAATAAGCCACGGGACAGGAACAGACTACAATGGAAAGTCAGGAGTGCAGAAAGATCCTCTCAGGTCTTAAACACCTCCAGAGTCAGGAAACAGGCAGGAAACATCGCTGCAGACCCTTCACACACTGGACACCACCTTGTCCAACTGCTCGCTTCTGGTAGGCGTGACAGAACAGTGTACGCAGACATAACACTAAAACACTTTTTTTAAGCACACACCAGTCGCGTAGGGTCAGGAAAAACCCCTGTAAAACAGCCAGTAACACTAAGCATCCTCTTTACCAGCACATATACATTTTATTTTACATACAGTTTTCTTTTAACATGTTAATATTTGTCAAATATCAATCAAAGCACAACTGGCCTTTACTACAGTAATATCCGCTGCTTCATTCGGCTCGGCGTGACATTTCACTAAAACAATTTTTTGATGCACACACCAGTCATGTAGGGAACAACCCGTAACACTAAGCATCCATTATTTATTTTTTATTTACATACAGGTTTCTTATGTAAAATATGTAATTATTTGTCAAGTATAAATCAAAGCACAACTCGCATATACTGTATATACAGCAATATCCGCTTAAAAAGGTAGCCTTATCATCCCATATTTATGACAGGCACCCCTTGTACTCAGCTCCATTGACCTATTGTTCTATACATTGTGTTGCTTTTTGCTGTTGTGTTTGTATACTTTTTATATACATTTATAGGCGTACATAGAAGTTAAATATTTATGTTTTTACCTAGCTTTGCTGTCCACGTTTTTAGCTTCATGTCTTTTTCCGTGCATGTACATTGAGAACAAAAAACGGTTACATTCTGATCTAATGTAAGGGAGTCTTCAATTTGTTTTAACATTTCAGGAAACATTTGTTTTATGGTATTCAAATGACTTGGAGATAAAATTGTTTTTATACTAAATGAAAAACATGAATTCTGAGTCCCAGTGAAGCTCATGGCCGTGGTGAGGTAAATGTAATTTACAGTAAGAAAGTGCACACACATTTCATCTGCTGAAATGTTTGTAGGAAAGCAGTGAGATCATTTCAATATCAAAGGCACATGTTCGCTTAATTTGCATTAAACAGGGGAGGGTGGAAGCACATTTGGAGCTAAGAGGAGGTCCTTATCCCAATCAATCAAAGACATGTTACTTTTGCAAAAAACACATAATTAAAAAATGCACAAATATCATAACTTCTCAAAGAGATCTAATTATGATTTCTTTTTATCCCAAAGCACATGCCTCTCCTATTTTCATTATGACAGTAAAGTGAAACATTATTTAATATTTAGTGATGAAACAGGCAAGAAACTCTCTCCTCTAACTTCAGAAATAATATTCCAGAGACGGTGAGACTCTGAGAAATGTGCTGAAAGTGTCAATGTGGCTGCTTGAATATGGCAAAATTGCTTATTTTCACATTCAGCCATATCAAGCAGTTTTTTTTTCTCCTAGCTGTTTGTGGAAGAGCTTGCATATTCATGACCCGCGTGTTTTGAGAACCTGTCACCGAGCCTGTTATATAGCTCTCGCTGTCTTCCTGTGCAGGATGGCTTCGGAGGCAAAAAACACTCCATCAGACTAACAGTGTCCAGCTGACACAGTCGGGCAGTAAAACTGACAGCCAATGGAGTCGGGCCTAGCAAATGAACCACACATAATGAACCACTGACAGAGGGGTCACCTTCTGTCACTGCCTATGTATCCACTCGTTCATACACACACATGGAAAAGAACATACACACATCATTGCACAATGCACCCTGCATCCTATGCTATTAAATACCCATACACTCACACACACACACACACACACAGGCACAGACCATCACTTGCATCCTCCCACTTCTCTCCTTTGGCGGGGTTAAATCCAGCAAAACCCCAACCTCGTTTTTGACCTGCCTCCCACCTCAGCTGTGAGAGAGCGAGTGCAGAAAGGAGGAGCAAGCAGGCGTTCCACTTCTCAGACAAGAGCAACTATGGATTTCTGACTTAAACTTGGCTACTTAGAAGGTCAATATAATATTGAAATGCATGGGAATAATTCCCCTTCTGCATACCTTCATAAATCTGAAGGATTAATAAAAACAACAGGGTGAGTGTTTTTTGCCGCTATGAAAGTTCTCACTGACAGCGAATCCCCTCGAGGCTCCGTGAAACAGAATAGGTGTTCGATGGGAGATTTACCGGCAAGGCTAACGCTCAGGTCACGAGGCCTTCATGATGAAACCATCCACTGACAACATTGTTTGTGCATACTAGTTTGCATTGTCGGTATACATTTTCTTTCCATGTGAAGATAGTATTGTGTAAGCGGTGTTTGTTATCAATCCAGCTTCCTCCTCCCACGCGATATGACTGCTGTGTTCCCCCTCCTCCAAAGCCTTCCCTCCGCTGCTCAGCCTCTGCACAGTCCCCGTGGAATCTCCCGTGTCAGTACATTACCTTATAAGTGGAGGCATTGACTGTGGGGACTCTTTGATACACATTCACATACAGTACAAACACAATTGATCGTCAGCGGAGCATTGAGAGAGGGGGGGAAGCTGAAGAAAGATCTTCACTCGTATAGGAGATCACAGGTCTTCTTCTGGAATAAGAACTGTGTGTGTGTGCAAGAAGGAACAAAACGCTGCTTTGATAAGGATGTGACAAGGAGCAATCTTTCCCTGGAGCCAGCCGCCGAGCACTGAACACTATCTGCAATCTGGGAAAAAGGCTCAGAGCGCCACAGTGAAAAATGTAATATTATCTGTGCAGCCTCACATTGGGCATAATGCGACTGGCAGTGTTAATGATAGGCCGACATTTTTTCTTTTTCTGTTTGCATGAGTAGATTCTCCCCTTAGGGATGCTAAAATAATGACTTCATCTTTTGACAACATTTGCAGCTCAATTAAAAAGTGTTTATGTCAATCTTCCTCTGTGTGGGCGCTGCCTCTTCACCATGTACACTGCAGCGGGGGGATGTTGTCATCTACGAGCCCTAAAGTCAGAGACCTTATGTTGTCACGATAATAGGTGTCAAACTTCAGCGATGACTTTGTCTCCAGGCAAAATAAATAAGCCATTAAATCTCCGCACTCATTGGTGAGGACTTATTTACTCCTTTGGTTAGTGGAAACACATACAGAAATATGCTGATGACTCATCGATCCCTTCTCCATTTATATTTAAAACTGTTGAATCGCGGGGCGTTTGTTAGGTTCAAATGAATTCTTTCTCTTAGATGTGGATGCGATCTCAGACAGCAGTCAATGATGTGTTTGAAATCAAAATAAATGAATTGGAGTGCTTTTGCTCTCAGTGAGAGGAGAGCTCTAATGAGTGTGATCACAGATGCCAAGACCAAACACTTCAAACAAAGGCAGCTTGTTCTTCATACATGAACACGAGAAAAACAATACTTTTAAAAGATATTCTCTTTAAAGACTAAACAAAGAGAGTGACAGAAAGAGATTGTGGAATTATGTTATATGGTGAAGAAAGGCCAATCTGAAGAATCAAAGCCTATTTACTAGCTTTCAGAGAATTGGTCATAACACAATCTAATTTGTAAGTGAGGAATTAAGAAAAATTACAAACAATAATTTGGTGTAATTATGGGTCTCCCCTTTGCACCGCTCACTCTGCAGCATGCTATGCAATATATAACAGATGCTTTCGCTGTCCATATTCAGATGAGTTGTGAATAGAAACAAGTGAGTGAGTGAAAAGTCCTTCTTGGTCTATTTAAACCCTCCCCCGCAGGCTACAGTATTTACAAGGAAACGGTTATCATTTAGTCTCTGTTGCAGATCAAAATGTCAAGCTCCACAGAGAATCTGAGCGGTGCTGTTAGGGCCAAAAGTGCAGTTTTAGAGCCCCAGGATCTGAGAGGAAAAAATGATTTGCAAATGCCCAAATGTGTCTAATTGACCTGAAATATAGCCTGTGTGCAGAATCTGTTGGAAATCAATACGAGAAGAATATCCTTGAAGGAACATTGCAGAAGATCACACCGCATGTCTTTCAAGGAAGAATTATGAAGTATGCAAGAATTATGAAAAACAATCATGAAAGTCATTAAAGGTCGTGTGAATTCAAATTGCAGCGGTTGCAGCAGATTAAGAGAGTGACGAACAGCTGTTTTCCCACCTAGCAGACCAGGATAATAGGAGTACACTCGGCGACGGTAGATAATATGAATATTGTGTGGTCGCTAAAGCCATTTGTGAGTGGATTTACACGTAATGTATTCCCTCTGTATTTGTTTATTGTGTGTGTTTAGTGGGGTAAATCAATAGGCAGTATTCCCAGCCTTGATTGGATTCACAATTAGCTCTAGTAAGAGACAATGGGTTCGTTAGATTCAGTACATCCAACCAACCCGGATTTCTTTCCCTCACATCAACCGCCACTCACCGTTATCGTCTGTGCTGTGCAGGTGCCTTGTGGGTAACGGTGAGGACTGAGAGGGAAGTTCCTCCCGTGTGGCAGCGGGCCGTGACAGCTCCGAGATGCTCTTTGACCTGAGAGGAAGGGAAAACAACATCAATGGTAATTCCCCTTCAAACACATTAACTGGGATGAACTGGGTCCCACCGAGCTCCTCTGAGTGGACTCGCATTGATCGCAGAAATCCATGAATAAATTTAGCACTAATTGATTTTTTTTCCCTGCTCAGAAAATAAATCTCTAATTCTGAGTAGAGGCAGTGAATGTAGCAGATTGTGCAACCACCTTCTTTTTATCAGTAGGAAATGCATTTTGAGAACCAACTTAATGAGGAACAAACATTTTCAGCGTCCTCTCATACGGTCTGAACCTGGACTTTGTTTTCAGTGAAAACACAAAGTTTGATAGTTTTGTGACTTGACCAGAGTTAATAAAAAAAAGTCCACCTTGAGTTCAGTTTCTAAACAAACAAAGACAATTCTGTGTGTTGGAATAGCCGAAGAAACAAGCCCAGAAATTAACCCATTATGTTCCTGTGGATTTGAGCTACCCTTTAATTGCTTTCAGTGGGGATTGGAGTTACAGTTGGAGGGGAAACGGTGTCACATATGCATTTACTAAATCTCCCTATGCCTTCACTCTGCTGCCAGCTGGAAGAGTGATAACGTCAATATGGGAAGAGAGCATTTACAAAAGATTCCACGCATGTAAATCCTGCGCTGCGTTTACAAAGTGGAAGAAGATGTTGAAAATGTGCTCTCATGAAGCCGAAGAGGTCTTATTCAAATCGATAGAAGGAAAATTGTTAAAAATCGGTTTGCATTTATATATTTTACAGTAAGCTTTAAAAAAAAAACTGCCCTACTGTTTTTGACAAACTAAAATACATTTGTGTACGTACAATTATTTTGTATTACTATGAAATCATTGAAATAAATCTCCTAAGATTTAAGACTACATTTAAAAAAAAAAGGATTATCAGTATTTAAACTTTACTTTTCTCATTAAGCTATATTTAAAAAGCTTAAGGCTTGATAGCCCCAGGACAGGTAAGGTGATTTTAGCAAAGCAATCATTTCAGTTATATACAAAGCTGATTATAAACACTCAGGAGTCAGCTGTTAAATCAATACAAGTTGAGGCAGATTTTTAGTCAAATGCTAAAAAAAAATATTTTATATAAGAAGTTGTTTCCTTTAAAAAAAAAAAAAGGGCTGCTACAGCTTAACAGAACGCTCAGTAAAATGTCATAGCTCTGTGGATAAAATGTGAATGCTTTTATTGTATGCTCTGATCAAATATAAGTCATATTCTACAATTGGATAATTTGTAATAGTGTATAATAATAATAATAATAATAATGGTAAACTATATAACTTTACATATAATAGGCATATTTTATTGTATATTTAAAGCTGTCAATTGATATAGGCTGAGTGCTTCTTCTTGGTGTTGGTAATGATTGAGGAGTCTTGATTTGAGGAGTTGTAGATTCAGGTATCATACTGCCACCTACTGGTTGAGCCTTTTTTTTTTTTAAGGATGTTCAGTCAGTCAGCGTGAAATGAGTTCCTGATGATTAAAATGACAACTTCTACTTCAGTGACATCTATAGAAATGAAATATTACATTTAGTTTTTACCTCGTATGATAGATAATATCCTCAGACATCTGCATTGAGAAGGAGAGGAAGTGTCCCTCGGGTGCCCCTGACTAAACAGGGAGCTGGGGGCCCTTTAAAGCACATGCTGTAACTGACGATGTGGTTATGGTCTATCAAGACTCCCTCTTCACTGACAAACCTCAATTGCTCAGTCGTGCAAAGAAAAAAGCTGTTCCTGAAATGTTCCTTTTTGTTTGATGGATGACTTGCACAGATAATGGCCGGGCATTACCTCTGCAAATAAACCAGACTTGACATTGCCCTGCGCCGGAACATCTGGGACGCCCCAGAGACAGGATCAAAGCGCGTCCTTGGACTCTATCTGTGCCAAACATGCACGGCAAGCTCAGGAACGGCTATCCTGCGCACTTCCGTCGTCATCATCATCTGTTTGTTAGTCATCAGCTATTTCTGCCTAATTTGTTACAGTGATATTCCTCAGTGTTTTCGTCATGGTAACAGCAGGGCCGAGAGCTGCTCGACAATAGATTAAATCAATTTATGAGCTTATTATCCCACAACGAAATTATATCGTTAGCTAAGTGGAAACATGACTGTGATGTTGGAAATCAAGTGGCGGACTGATTGATCTCTCTAGCATTTCTTTTCCAACTGACACGTCAGACTGAGCAGCATATCAACTCGGCTCTCTCTATACTACGGGGGCTGCGCTACAACACAATCCACATTACTTGGGCTTTGTTTGGAGAGAGCCAGCCAACTGCATAACCTTAATTAGTCAAGCTGTATTCATTCAAGTGATTACAATGCCCTGCACAGTAGTGAAGAGAAGCATCTGTCACTTAAACTCAAATGATTTCTCAATCTTTCCACTCAGTAGAATAAATGCATCATAGGTGTATGAAATACATTCTGGTGATGATTTTGTGCCAAAATATAATATAATCTTGTCTAGGGCTGCCACTAAAAATTATTTTGATTTCAATCAGTCCCTCCTTTTTTTGTATTAATCGATAACATTTATGATTTTGACTTCAAAATATTAGAAGCAAGTGATACATGACCATAACAAGTCTCAGGATGCTTGTTTTGTCCCAAAAGTAATATGAAACATGGAAAGCAGCAAATCCTCACAGTCATATATTCAGATTTCTTTCCTTGTTTAATGACTTGTACAATTACTATTTTATTCAATTGTATTTTATTTATTTAGTTGTTTTCTTCATCAATTAATAGTTTTTATTAGTACTACATTAGCCTGATGTGTTTCAAAAAGCTTAGCATATTTTTAGCATTATGTTAACTCTGCCATGGCAAAAAAAAAAAAGGACAGAACTAGGTTTTTCTGGGATGGCTTTCTTTCCCAGGTTCTTGAGTTTCATTGTGTTTGCCATTTCTAAATCTCCCCAAGGCTGTGCATCTGCTGCTCTCCAGCCGGCACGACTGGTGGAAAGAGCCGGATGTCACTTCTGTGAACTAGCAGCGGCGGAGAGGAGGGGGAAAATGACGCAATCATCAGAAAAGTGGTTTGGGTGGTGAAGCAGGGGCCTTACGAGGGGGCAGGTTGCAGGGATCGTCTGCACCTCGGCAGATGTGCCTCGGTGTCACTCTACATCCGCAGCCGAATGAATCACCAAACAGATGTTTAACGTCAAGGCCAGGCTGTCACGCCAGCCAAACACACACATGCACACACACCGACCACGCAGAATATGCATACACGCAGTACAATTTATCACTACTTTAGGAAGAGTGGCTCCACAAGGGGTCAGATCAAGGCGCTCATGTTCACCTTGATGTGACTTTGACCAAAAATAACAAGAGACATTCCTAAACCTATACAGAAGTCCTGGGATGAGCACAAAGCACACTGAGTAAAATGTAGCTTTGTTCAATTTCAGGGAGTCTAATCAAATCAAATCAAATCAAATCAAGGTTTATTTATAAAGCACATTTAAAAGCGATTTTTGGTCGGGCCAAAGTGCTGTACATGTAATAACTAAAATCACATAAAAACACATTTCTATAATCACAATAAGAGACAATAAATTACAACAGATATTTAAAAAGAAAACACAGGGTTAAAATCAGGAGTCATGCTCCGCTCTGACTAAAAGGCCAGGGAGAAGAAGTGTGTCTTCTGTGTAATGAAACATTTCTACAACATAATATATTTCCAGAGACTCTTTTTGATCCGTCTCATACCATCTGAACACAATCCATCAATATGGAAAGATTTTAGATCACTCAAACACCTCGTGATTCTTTTGTGAGATCCTTTATGGCAGAATAAAGATATTTTGTCAAAACTAATATCCTCAAAAAAACTACTGATGTATTTTTTTAAGGGTTTGTTTCAGGAGTTGTTTTGGGGAAGGGATAACAAAATGAAATGCTACTCAAATAATCTGACAATGCTTTACAACAGATGTTTTCCACCTTTGTAACCTAGCACCCTACTCTCTAACATACTATATTACTGAAGAAAAAAAAGGACATTTTGGTTAAGACTGTTTTTTCTTTCATACATTCACAATTATTCTTTTTTGTGGAATAGGCCCTGGTCCCACCGCCATCTCAGGTGAACAATCACTCAAGTCTTTGACTGAATCAATCATATTGTGTGCCGTATACATTTTTAAAAAGGTACCTTGATACCGAGAACATGGAGACTCACGTTGTTATAAAAGAGCTATTGAAGGTAAGGAGCTTTTAAGAAAGTGTTGCTGGATCTTTGAGAACATTCTTGAGGCCTTTTTCGCCTCTTTTGGAGAAACCCAGGCAGATAAAAGGAAACACTCGGGTGGATTAAAGTGTTCAGAATGTATCAGCATCAACCCACTAGAGTTTTTGCCCTCTACATTTTTCAAACACAGTCAATAGATCTAAATATTTTACTGTGCCCTGGCCGATTTATTGTTTGATGTTTAAAAACTTGTGTGGAATGAAAGAAAATTCATTAAAGAAGATGGCCCCAGAACGAGGCCCTGCGATCAGCTTTGAAAGTCTAGTTTAACTGCGATATTGATCATTCTCTTTCTTCTGTGACAAAGGCCACCAGGGACGCTGGAGGTGTCGGTGGATGAAGGCGCGCTGCCAATAACACCAGACGTGTGTACTGTACATTGTAGGTGAGGCTGGAAATTACACTATTAATACCAAAAAAATCCAATAACTCAAAATGGACCAAACAAACATCACCACCTTGATTTCGTATCAGTCAAAGGAAGATCCAGTGGTTCAGATGAAGCAATGTGCACTTGAGGGGTTTGGATTTTTAAAATGCATGACACATTACACTGTGGACTTTATTACAGCGGTGTTGGGTCAATGTAGATAGAGATGTAAGCTGTATTTCATTGAGCAGTCCTAAATTAGTTTAGACTTTTAATCTGTTTGCATGACGAACAGCTCTTAATCATGACGTGGCTCGTGTCCTGTCATGAATTGGAAAGAGCTCTTCCACTATTCACTCTGACTTTGTCCTCTTGAAAAAATAAGTAAAGTTAGCATATCTCTGTTTGCAAACCTTCATCGAAATCTCAGTACATTTTATACGACAAAAAGTCCTTTGCACACGCTGAAAACACAAGAAAGAAATGTAAACAGAAAAGGTAGCTGCATAATAGAAAACCTTTTCAAATCTATTTTTGATATGAAAAAGATTAGACAGACATAAAAACCTAATCCATACAAGAGTTATTCAAGCTTAGATTGACAATCATAAAAATATCTCCAACTACATTTCTGGACACTATTTGACACCCGGAGAAAGACTAACCTCAGTATAATTAATTCAATTTCTGAAATATGCAGGGCAAAGAGTTATTTTCCCTGAGCTGAAAACATTAGTCATGCAGGAGACATGCAGGAGGGCTTGACAAGTGTCAGCAGTGCTTTAGAGATAGCCAGGCTATTTGGACCAATACTTTAAAAGTATAACAACATATCATCAATGTGTCAGTGAGGGTAAAACAACATCTGTTGGTTGAGCCATTTCTGAGAATGTGAAAACTGCATATCATGAAAGCATATGTTGACCAAGAAGCTTGCCATAGTAATATTGCGTAATGTTTTGGGTGAAGATGTGAATCTTTGAAGCATTTTTTTATATGAAACTATCACATTCATCATCTAACCTAAATACCAGCACACAAAGAACATTAAGATGAGAGGGGAGATGCAATATCCAAAAACCAATTTCTTTACGATAATCACTTATTTGACTATTTGCCTTGTTGGCTTTTGCTTGAGATTACATTATTGGCATTTGGACATTAGTAACATTAAGTAACACTACTGCATACAGCGATAGGGATACATTTCACAAATATGAAATGTGGATGCAGATTCTTTAAAAAAAACGAAATAATTAGATTAGGAATGTTCTTTTCATTTTTGAGAATGAATGAAGTGTCCAAAATCTGGAAAAACATTGTGTTTTGTATGTTGCATATAATATATTGCCTACAAAACTGTATTTGGAACTTCAAATTTGCTTTTCAGATAAGGAAACTAAAAGACAGTTTTGTTCGTCCCTTTTTTTGAGCAAAATTGACGTCCTTTAAAACTGTTTCAGTCTCTTGCACAGCTGTGACTTTGCAACATGGCCAGCCCAAATTCTAAATGCACCTCTTCTCTTTCCAAGCATAAGTAACTGATTTCCATCTCATCTGTTTTCCTGCTCCAACAATAGCTCTGTTTATCTGCATGTTGCTGTGTGGCGTCAAGAATAGACCTCCCACAATTTAAGCTTAGACTAAACCACTGATGGTCACCTAATGGGGAGATTTGTCTGCTTGTGTTTGCTGACCACTGTGTTCAGCAGCCTCTATCTCAATCCACGTCTCCGTTTCCCACAATCTCTAGTATTTCTCTTCCTCCTCTGAATATCTGTGCCTTCCTCTGCCTTATCAACCATGAAGTTATTGAGTGAAATTACCATTCTACAGCTGAGTCAGCCCCTCAGTTAAAATGGAGTAAATAAATTCAGTGACCGGAGGTGAAACAGGTCCTTACATTCAAATGCAGGCAGAGCTGCTGGGCCGTCGAGCCGCTCGCTCACTGGAGAGGTCGGATTTCTTCCATGGCATGTGTAGAAGCTGAAATACAAAGAGGAGACAGAAGTCAGTATCTCTGTCGTTAGTAACATGTGTGTCACAGCAAAAACAGGTACTTGAAGTCAATGAAATATGGCGCCGCTGACTCGTAAAATATCATAATATACTGAGCTGGTAGCACATTTGGATTAGCCCACAGGGAAATAAATGCAGACAAATTACCCTCCTTAACCCCTACTACAGAGCACACAACAGGTTGACACTTTTACCGTGATGCAAAAATATCAAACTCAAAACTGTGCATTATAGCTTTTTCAAAATATACACATTTGTTGTTCTATATTGTTCCTGTGGACGGTTGAGAGAAGATGCTTCCTGCACCAGAAATAGCACTTGATTGAGGTTTGATTGAAATCTGTCAAGAACGCTTGGGTTGCAAAACTAGGGGCTAGTTTCCAAGGCAACACGCTCACCAAAGTGTATTAGTAAATCATCTGGAGCAGTGCTTGTGTCTTTTTATTGCCACCTTTATACATTTCTCTAATTAGTTGCAAACACCTCCTGGTATTAACTTATACCCTCAACTGTTAAACTCACATATCCCACTCATTTCGATGTGTTAGGAGAGGTCTTTCTCAGAAGTGCCAGTGAATAAAAACTGGTAGATAAAAAAAACAGGAGCATGATGTTGGCAGAATTCCTACTGCTAGTCCCAATTTAATTAATTTACTGTGATAATGAACCATTTTCACCATGAATTTCACACATACTGGATCTAATTTATTAGAATTTGCAATCACATAAAGTATTTTTAAGTGATGAGTAAAAATTGTAAGTTAGTTGTAAGTAAATATACGTATTTCCTCAGCGCCTGTGTAAAAATGTATACCAGCCCTCCGTCCTTCTGTATAACTCTCCTTAGAAAAGGCACACAGGACACAGCAGGAGGGCAGATGTGATGTTCTCTTTTTATTGACTGACACGGCTGATGAGGGCCCATCCTGCACTTTGGCAGGAGGGTAGGCGAGCGTGCAGAGGTGGCGCCCACCAGGGTGCGAGGAAGGGACGGCGTGGTCGTCCTTCATAGATATTCCATGCGTGGCTTTACCCTCAGCTGCCCTGTCAAGGTCTGTGTCTGCCCCTCCGAGGGGGCTGAGACAGGGTCATGGATGACACCCGCCTCTGTGCCAGACGTGACAGCACAGCTGGGCCGCTTAATGACAGAGGGGCCGGGCCCAGCACACACCTGCCCATCCTGCGCGGGGCAGGCGACCTCACGGGGAGAGAGAGGAGCCGCTGCCACGTTGGATAGGCAGATGTTCTGGAGGGGAGACGGCAGAGACAGCTGCACTACAGGGACCCCTCACTTTCCCTCCTCTAGGCAGTAATTGAAAATCATGTAAAAGGTCAATTGTGTGATGCTGGCTGTCCCTCTCTGCAAGTTGTTCCTTTCAGCCTGAACATGACAAAAACAACACTGACTGGATGACAGCTTTTGCCGCAATTACTGCCTATTTAGCAATGGATGTCCGTGTAATGACGTTATCTGTAAACATTGGCAGTGAATAAATCTGCATATAAAAAGACGTGGGAGCCATCTGTTGGAGGCCGTGAATAGGGGTCGCTGAGAGAAGCCTAATCACTGTTATGACATTCGGACTCCAAACGAAGGAACACTGCGAGGAGGGATGTAAATAAATCTAATTCCAATCTCTATCAACATTTGCTGGATAGCCTGCCAGCAGCACCTGTGTACGGCTCCACTGTGATGCAGGGGTCAGTGCCCGTCCTGAAGACCGACAGAGAGTGACCGTCTCCCAGAGTCTCACTCTGATGAGAAGTGGCAAGGTTTTAACCTCTGCAGAATTGCTCTCTGGTTGTGGTTTATTTAAACAGAACCAGCTACAGAACTGTCACACACCATCAGCCTCGCTGCGATTCAGCGGGGATTTCTAGACCTTCATAGACACAGAGATGATCCAAATAGACAATGAGGACTCATTAGGGAACACCAAACAGGGAAATGAGATGAACTTTTGACACTTTGGCAAGACATTTTGTGTTTTAATTGTAAGTACCAGAACCATATAATTGTATACTGTCTTTTTACTTGACCTAGATAAAGTTGTATGGGAACCTGAGACGGTACAAAAGGTTCAGATGCTCAGAAACAGTTTAAAAAGAGTGTGTCAGTGTTGGAGAATGAATGGCCTGTTTAGATGTGACATCTCATCTCACATTTATTTCAATTATTGTCAAGAGTTTGAAAAAGTTGTTACTCATAATGAGGAACACATTAAGGCTCACCCACAAACATGTGGTTTGGAGGGAACTCTTTAACATTTAACAAAAACAAGTGCTGGGACTTGAGTACCAGCACAAACAGGAAGGAAACAATATATTCCATAAACTCCCCCAAATGAGAACCTTATCAATAACACTTGTGTGTGCAGGGAAAGCAAAATGAAGCTCTTCAAGATGCATGTTTCTGGTTTGACTGACCGTAGCCCTTTGCCAATAACAATGTTACCCGCAATCAAGATCCAAACCACACACACTTGGCTCGGCACGCTGTCACAAATTATGTTTTGATTCTGACCAAATGCAACAGCTTCCTGTCTGGTGCTGTTTTCTCTTACTGTCTGTTTTATGATCTTGAAGTAAATCCAAGCTATGAGTTGCGGCAGAAAGGACATTCACAAACAGATCTGAATTGTTGGATGCTGCAGATCCTCATAAAGGAAACAAAGACCAGAACTACAAAGAAATCAACACTTTCTAACCTCAATGAATCGAATAAAATGCCCTGAAATAACCTTTTATTTAAATGTTTTCACTAAACAATTAACATTTATTTCTGCCAATTCAAATTCTCTCTGTTTTTTTAAGAACTTTAATTGTAAGCGTGAACAAATATTTTCGTATCTTTTCTCTAATGGAAAAATTTAATTAAATGTATGAATGCGGCACGTGTGTAAATTCAATCACAAAAGAAATCTAGATATATCTATACATCAATATACAAGACTGATTAGCTGATCGGCTGACAACTGGCCGTTTAAAACCTGTGGCTGAATCAATGGATATAAATCTAGATATTTTGTAATCACTCCCAAAACAAGAAGGCGCCTAAATTCAAAAGGACAAGTGTAAAGGATTTAGGGGCACTACATTACCCCTTTCCAAGCATTTAGAAGTATCTAAAATGGCCTTAAGGTGCATTTGCGACACTACATTTGAGACGCCATTTTAACGTAATGCATGTTAGGCCTTCAAATACAGTCTATGATAAAAACTGACTATGTTCTTTACTACTGAAGAAACATGTTGTAACATGGAGGGCTAATTGGAATATTACTCGGAGTTAGAGTTAATTTAGAGCCAATTTGTTTCATGTACTTAGTAATATAAACATAAGAAGTCAAAATGGTTTCCATTTCTTCCACTAGATCCTCCTCATATCCTACGCTTTGGTCCTTAAAAAGGATGAGTGTGATTCTGCGTATGCCATCTGTATGAGAGTGTAACTGTGCAACTGCATGTGTGCAGCGCAGCAGAATGCACATTTCAAAGGAAAGACAGCTCCTGGGCTTGCTGAACTTTTGCTTGTTATCAGGAGCTGAGAGTGAAATGGAGAGAATTGATCTTTTGTCTACTGGAGGTGCACTCCCTTGGGCTGGGCCGCTCGCTTGCTCACTCGCTTGGCTGCCATGCAGAGGGCTCTCTTTCTCAAACCCCCACCACCCTCACCACCATCATCCCCCTCTTTCACTCACTATCTCTCTCTCTCTCTTCTCTTTCCCTCTCTGCGTGGCGGCTGCCTCTCCTCCAGCTGACACTTGTCCTGCCGTTACAGGGAGAGATGTGCGCTGAGCTGCTGACACCAGGATTGATCTTCCTCCTTTTCCCCATAAGCTCCATATCAAGCTCCTGGAGACTCTGGAGGAGACAAAGAATGGGCGGAGGGAGAGGAGAGAGAATATTGTCAACTCACATCACCTCTTCAAACTAACAATGTTTGGTGCAGCGAAGGAATGGAGAACACAAGGATGACGGTTTTATTTGTGAGATAAAGTTCACTCCTACTAAATTGTGGCTCAAAGAAACCCTACAACAACTAGATTTCCTAATGCTACAAACAGCAGTTAGTTTTCACTTTAAGGCTACAAATGGTAAACTATGCAAACGAGTAACTTGTATTGGAAATTAGGTAGTTGCATCATCCTGCAAATAATAGCACTCAATAATTGCCAGGATTATCACACAACAGTTTTACATCAGAAATGCTCGACATCAGTTTGTGCTACCCAGACATCAAACTTGGATTACTGTGCACACAAGAAGATTTGGAGGTCGCATTTAACAGCACACACAAATTCAGCACAATTTATGACTTCGGCGAGAGAAGTACTACTTTCACTGTTGTTAGCTCACTTTGATTATATTTATTTTGTATTGATTTCTACTTTAAGTTAAATCTATTTTCATGTAATAGATTTTTAAGAAAAGTGATTGTATGCATTTACTAGGGCTGTGCAATTAATCGTATTATAATCGCAATTACGATTTTGGCCTGCCACAATTACGAAAACAACATAATCGAAAAAAAACGATTATTTTGCTTTGCTAGGTTGTGACAGTGCACTGCAACATATTTGATCAAATGTATTTGTATTTATCATATTTATATATGTTTAGTAGCTTGTTGAAGTGCAACATATTTGTTGATCTTGTTTATTGGTATTTATTATTTTGATATTATTTATTTAAATGTAAATATAAATGTATCATTTATTTTATTTATTTTTGTATTGGTTTTTCAGTTGAATTATACGCTCAGGGAAATCAACAGTTAAAAAGAGACTGTTCAAATTATTATTTGTATTTAAAAGTTCAATAAATGGATGTTTTCAAAGTCATGAATAATCGTATTTAATAATCGTGATATCAATTAATGACCAAAATAATCGTGATTATGATTTTTGCCATAATCGCACAGCCCTAGCATTTACCGCATCTTGCTGATAATGTAGGTAGAGCTA